AAAAATAAAATGAAAAATCTTTAAATAAAATCTTGTCCTTGTTGTGTGTTAACACAACAAGGACAAAGGACATCATAAGAAATTCACAGAAGAAAAATGAATGGTCAATAAACATGGAAAGAAGCTCAACTGTCTTAATCTGTAAAGATCAAATTTAATCCAGATTTTTCAGAATGACAAAAGTTAAAACTTGAAAATTGGTGTTACTAACCCTTTGTCAGATATGTCATTTGCAAGGGTAGTATCCAAAATAAATAAAGAAGTTATAAAACTCAACACCCAAAAAACAATCCAGTTTGAAAATGGGCAGAAGACATGAATAGACATTTTTCCAAAGAAGATATACAGATGGCTAACAGACACATGAAAAAATGCTCAACATCACTCATCATCAGGAAAATACAAATCAAAACTACAATGAGGTATCACCTCACACTTGTCAGAATGCTAAAATTAACAACATAGGAAACAATATAGGTTGGCAAGGATGTAGGGAAAGGTTGTTGGTGGGAATGCAAACTGGTGCAACCACTCTGGAAAACAATGTGGAGGTTCCTTGAAAAGTTAAACATAGACATACCCTACAATCCAGCAATTGCACTACTAGGTATTTATGCAAAGGATACAAAAATACTGATTCAAAGGGATACACACACCCCAAGGTTTATAGCAGCATTATCAACAATAGCCAAATTATAGAAAGTGTCCAAATGTCCATCAACTGATGAATGGATAAAGAAGGTCGGGTATATATGCAAAATGCAAAAGAATTTTACTCAGCCATAAAAAAGAATGAAATCTTGTCATTTGCAATGATGTGGAGGGAGCTACAGAGTCTTATGCTAAGTAAAGTAAGTCAAAGAAAGACAAATACCATATTATTTCACTCATATGTGGAATTTAAGGAAAAAAAACAGATGAACATAGGGGAAAAAAGAGGGGCAAACCAGAAAACAGACTCTTAAATATAGAGAACAAACCAAGAGTTGCTGGAAGGGGAGTGGGTGGGGGGAATGGGTTAAATGGGTGATAGGCATTAAGGAGGGAACTTGTAATGAGCATTGGGTGTTTAATGTAAGTGATGAATCACTCAATGATACACCTGAAACTAATATCACATTGTATGTTAACTGGAATTTAAAACTTGGGGGAAAAAGAAGCCTAGGCAGCACCTGGGTGGTTCAGTCTGTTAAGCATCTGACTCAATCTCAGCTCAGGTCTTGATCTCAGGGGGTCGGACTCTGTTGTGCGGCGGGCAGCACCAGCTACCGGGAGCGCCGACATGCCTTGGTATGCGCAGCTGGTCATGGGCTCGGCAGGCAGCGGGAAGAGCACCTACTGTGCCACCATGGTCCAGCACTGTGAAGCCCTCAATCGGTCTGTGCAAGTTGTGAACCTCGATCCTGCAGCAGAACACTTCAGCTATTCCGTGATGGCTGACATGCGGGAACTGACTGAGGTGGATGATGTCATGGAGGATGACTTTCTGCGGTTTGGTCCCAATGGAGGATTGGTATTTTGCATGGAGTACCTTGCCAATAATTTTGACTGGCTAGAGAACTGTCTTGGCCACGTAGAGGACGACTATATCTTTTTTGACTGTCCAGTCTTGTCATGTTCTTCATGTAGGTCAGATTGAGTTGTATTCGCACCTGCCCGTGATGAAACAGCTGGTCCAACAGCTGGAACAGTGGGAGTTCTGAGTTTGTGGAGTTTTTCTCGTTGATTCTCAGTTCATGGTGGAGTCGTTCAAGTTTATTTCTGGCATCTTGGCAGCCCTGAGTGCTATGATCTCTCTAGAAATTCCACAAGTTAACATCATGACAAAAATGGATCTGCTGAGCAAGAAAGCTAAAAAGGAAATTGAAAAGTTTCTAGACCCAGACATGTATTCTTTATTAGACGATTCTGCAAGTGACTTAAGAAGCAAAAAATTCAAAAAATTGACTAAAGCTCTATGTGGACTGATTGATGACTACAGCATGGTTTGATTTTTGCCTTACGATCAGTCGGATGAAGAAAGCATAAACATTGTGTTACAGCATATTGATTTTGTCATTCAGTATGGAGAAGACTTAGAATTCAAAGAACCAAAGGAACATGAAGATGACTCTTCTTCTGTGTGTGATGAATATTTTCAAGGACACCAGAAGGAATGAAGAATTTATCAGAGTAACTATATACGTGAAGCACTTGCTACTGAACCAGCAAGACATTCTTCTCTTAGAAGGATGCAATACTAGAAGGCTACCTGTTTTAATGAAAAAAAGCAATACTTGGCTCTTTATCAGCAGCATGCCTGAGTCAAATTCTAGTTATTTTGAAATGGCTGATGTTTCAAGTGGAATCTTTTAGTATTATTTAAACAACATCAATTTAGATTTTAAATGTTGAAATTGACATGAATGCACATAGACTTGTATATAAATGAGCATCAGTGGTACAGTTAGGACCCAGTCTGCCTTTATTTTTACTATTTGATTTTTATTATTTTTGAAGGTTTTTTGGAGAGGCAGGAATTATTGTAACAAAATATACACCTGTGTCCAAAGGAAAAAAATCTGGAAGGACATAGTTAAGACCATTGCTTATCTGTATGTCTGAGTTTTCTTACACTGAAAATGTATC